TGACTGCTGTATTAAGTTTACTGTGTGTACAGGAGGTATAGTCGAGGGTCTCGAACTTCAGTTTGATTCTTCATTTGGTGCCTTTTGATTAACCAGAGCCCTGTTTGGCTTTGAGTCAAGCATATGGATTGGAGTTCTGTGGATTATTTCAGGATTTAGAAGTACATTTTATTTCGCGTACAGCCCTTTCAAAAGCCAAGTTAAATCACAAAATCCTCAGACAACCACCAGCATTGAACATTCAGCTTTAGTTAACTTTTGGGGACTCCATTTCTATAACAGTAAGACCCTGGCAAAGGAAGAGGCAACACACAGTAAGTGTGCCCACTGACAGGCAGCCCTCAGGCCATCGGGAGCATTACTGTAAGGGGGACTGCTGGGTAGGTCGGTATTTGCGGTATTTGCGTGCTTGCTTCTCTGGGCTGTGTTGACTGACTTTCCTAATCTATTTAGCAGATTGAAGTTCCAGAACAGGGGAAAAGTATAAAATGCCACGTTCCACAAAGCCAGGTCTGTGAGTAAAATTATATAATTGATCCATTACAATTTTGATAACTCTGCCCTTCCCCCCTCTTTAACCAAAGTCACTCCACTTCCAAGAAGAAGCCCAGATTCTGTTTCTCAGAAGCTCCTTTGTGTAGGTTGGGACACTGAAGTGTAGTGTTAATGTTTTTATTATAGCATTTAGCAGAGCTAAGAAGACTTATCCTTTACTTGGTTTCTTCTCCATTCTATGCACTTTTTTCAAAAATCCTTGTTCTAGTTTGTAAATTAGATCTAGTATATTCTAGTTTCACAGCTTTTCTGCAGGGGCCTCTGTATAAGATAACTTTTAAATGTATAAAATGCTGTTTTGAACATTTAGGTCTGCTGTACAGATAACAATAATAGGAAAAGATCATAATTGACCTTTTGGAGCAGTCTTTATTACCAGGCACTGTTCTAAGCTCTCTACTGTAAGTTAACTCGTCCATCCTCTCCACTACTCCCCGAGTCCGTAGAGGAAACTAAGGCACAGAGAGGTTGAATGACTTGCTCAGTAGCTAAATGACAGCTGTGCAGTAAGCAATGGTGGAGGGAAGCAGGCAGTCCGACTCTGGAGCTGTGTCCTTCACTGCCTTGCCATTTCTTCCTTTCTATGTCCACACCCTAATGTGGGTCAGTGAAACCAAGGTGTCCTTGAAATGGCATTGTGGTGGACTTTGTTATTGATCCAGCTCCTGCCATAGGGTCTAGTGTGTATAAAAATGGCCAAAGTGTATAAAAACAGTATTTTTCAATATGTAATAAGGTTCCTTCTTGAGTGAATAAGCCAAGAAAAGCAGAGATGTTTATGCAAGCTTTCTCTTTCACAAGATTTCTGGCTGGTTAGCTTAGAGACAGAAGGTAAGACCTCTACCACTTGCTGACTATGCGGCTTCAGACAGATCAAAACCTTAAATGTGCCTCAGGGATGTCTGAAGTGCTTTTCAAAAGGCAGATTTCTGGGCCTCACCCCCAAAGATTGACGCAGCTGATCTGGGGCGAGGGCCTTGGAAACACCATTTACAACAAGCATTTTAATAAGACACACTGCTCCAAGCTTCGATGTCTTTATTTACAAAACGTACATGGTAATCACTCTATTGTCTCTGTTTATTTTCTTAAAGTTTATTTATTTATATACTTTTTGAGTGAGACAGAGAAAGACCCACAGAGACAGAGAGACAGCACACCCAACAGAGTCTTGATGCCACAATCCACTTCCAGCCTTTAAGCCAGCCCCAGATCACAAGGGGCCAGTTTAACAAAAAAATTTAAAACTGTTTCTAACATGCCATCAGGACTGGAACCATTGTCCTGGGAAAGTGATTCCCTAAGTGTGGTCCCCAGACCACCAGTGTCAGTGTCACAAGGGACTATTAAAAATTCAAATTCTCAGGCTCCAAACCTGCTGGATCAGAAACTCTGAGGGAGGTGCCTAATCTGTGTTTAGCTCTCTAGATGAACCTGATGTGTGTTCAGATTTGAGAGCCACTGCCCTAGAACACCAGACAGTGCAACACCGAGTACATGGATGCTAACTCAGTTGTTCTCTTGGGTGAGCGTAATTCTAAAATAGGCAAACCTACCTCATGCTCTGAGCACGCCAGTATGTCAAAAGGGGACCTGTTGTTCAGCTGTATTGAACTGCAATTTATAGATTTAGTAAACCTTCATCTATGAGGGAGCTTCAAAAGTTCATTAAAAAATAGGGACCAGCAGTTAGTGTAATGGCTATGTCGCTGGACTCCCACGTGATCTACCACGGTTCGAATCCCAGACCCCGTGGCTTAAACTCACACCAGGCACGTGTGTGTGCATGCCCAAGATCCCAAGAGGAGAGTAGAGGAGAAGGGATTACTGCATGGCCATCTGGGGGGTGATTTCTTGCTTTCTGTCTCTCTGTCTCTCTCTGTCTGTCTGGTGAGCACACGCGCCCTATAACAAAAACCTCTAAAACAAACAAACAAAAAAGAACTACTAAAAAAAAGGTCATTAAAAAATAGAACATGTTAATAAACTCATATTTTAATGAGTTTATTTGGCAGCAAAAACATTTTTAAATTCATGTATGGATTTTTCATAATGCACAGTTTCATGAACTTTTTGAAGCTCCCTCATCAAGTCTTTCTGAACCAGGTGCTATTATAATTAAATGCTTTGGTTATCTTATTTAATTCCCGTAACAACCAAGGTACTATTATTATCCTTGGTTTTCAGCCTAGGAAATGAAACAGAAAAATTAAGTAATATGCCCAAGGTCATGCAGCTAGTAATGGCAGAGCCAATATCTGAACCCAAACAGCCTTCTTTGTGTTTAACAAATTTTATTTGTTCCTTTAACTACTCGGCTATGGGGCCTCTCCATGAAGACACATCCATCCTAGAAAAAAAGTATATTTTAGTCCATCAGCCATCAATGTGCCCACATAGATTTTTCCACAAGAGTCAAGGCCCACTCTTCATGACCCTGTCTGACATTTCGTAAATATTGAAGATGAACTGAAAGTTTGTGGTTACTATAACTCCTTAAAATATTTTTAGTAAGGATAATACTTTGTGAATGTTTATATTTGTATGAGGTGTACACTCTCGATTTTGGAAAAAGTTAAAAATTGAAAGTCACATGACTTTAAGAGAAGGTGAAAGAGACAGACTGGCAGAGCTAAGTGTTACCGGAATGATCTCCAGGGCCCAGAAAGGTGCTCAGGATACGTCTTCCTCAGCTAAACAGCAGGGGGCACCCTCCTCAACCCTAGCAGCTATTCACACAAAAGCTTCTACAAAATAAAACCATTTAAAATAACTTTTGCTTAAACAAATGTAACCTTTCTGCTCCCCTTTTGATATTGGTTTAATTTTTCTGGCTCTTTTATTTTTATTGTTATGGGAAATATTTTTTTCTCATTTACATTCCTGACCCTGTTTACTTCACAGCAGAAATACTATTCTAGCTTTCTACCAAGAAAAAGCAAGATTGAGACAGCTGAAGGTAACTGTGTTTTTGGGACCATAAAGGAAGAAGATCTTTGAAGAGAAGTCTCACATTTTAAAATGTTCTCTGAGGCTATCTCAAGATGGCGCAAGAGCTTGAGCTTTAAAGGTGGACTCCCTACCATCAATGAAAGAAGTTTGACCTCTTTTCCTCCCCCTGCCCCTTCCCTCCTTTTTTCTTTTTTTTTTTTTGCATTAAGATAGACTGTTGTCATCAAGATGACTGCAGAAGTCTATGCAAATCTCAAGATTAAAAAGAACTATTAATAGAAACAAAGTCACAGAGTTGCCTTTAATGGTTCAGAAATGACAAGTGGCAAGTTTGAATCAACTAATTTGAAGCTCATTCTACATTTTTCCCTAAAATAGATGTTTGCATGGCTTCATGAAGTCTTTTTCATGTTCTGATAATACATGAATGAAAGGCTCATTATAAAATATTATAAATGCATTTCTTAAAATGTGACTCATCAGCAAAGGAAAATCATGGCTCTAAGAAGTAAAATCAAAGGAAGCTGGACTTCTCTGATCTGTCCACTCAGCCAGGGCAGGAGATGATGAAGGACTCGTTTGTTTCCTTACAGAATAAGGAGCCCACTGCTATGGATGTACTCAAAGTATTAGGTCGTCGGGAAAGTCATGACATGTTTTTCTATATTTTTCTATACAGAAATCCGTCATGACTTTCCCAGCCACCCAATAATTGCTTGCCTGGTTTTGTTTCTCCACTATTGTAATTGTATTCTGCCCTTAGAATATTAAATTCTGTTCTATAATCATGTTATTTTTTAATGTTTTTATATTGGAAAGCACTAGGCTCTGCCGTTGATGTCCAATACCTTGTAAGTCTCCTAGCTCTTAAGAGATGTATACTTTCTCGGGAACCAGCAGTTAGCATAATGGCTATGTCGCTGGACTCCCATGTAGTCAACCACAGTTCGCGTCCCGGACCCGGTGGCTTAAAACTCATGCCGGGCACGTGTGCGTGCGTGCCCAAGATCCCAAGAGGAGAATGGAGGAAAAGGGATTGCGGCGTGACCATCCTCCCTGGAGGGTGATTTCTTGCTTTCTGTCTCTTTGTCTCTCTCTGTCTGTCTGGCGAGTGCACGCGCCCTATAGCAAAAACCTCTCCAAAAAAAAAGAAAATAAAAAAAAGAGATGTATACTTTCTTATTCGATTTTTTTCTTATCCAGTTTCAGTTATCTCATGGTAATTAATGTAATTAGGTATAGAATTAAGATCTTAATAGGAGAGGAACAGAAGATTCTAAATCATGTCATTAGAAAAAGTATAATATTCTAATGTTCTTGTCTAACTGGCTTGTCTGACCAATTATACAATAAATATGAAATGTATTCTAGTGAATATAGAATTTACTGATGAAAATTCTGTGAATGATTTTTTTGAAATGTATGGTCTATTAAAACTCTATAATAGTTATATCCAAAGACAAAATTATAATAATTTAAAGAAGTAAATTGGCTTTATTTGCAATTGAAAATCAGGCAACACTTCATAAAATAGAATACGTATTCCAAGGAGTTGCACAGAAGAGACTACCTTTACAAACGGAGAAGGGCACTAGAGAACAGAAACAAAGAACAAAAGGCAGATCGGTTATTTTGAAGTTTCTTTTCATAGAAGGCTTAAAGCAGAGGAAACTTCCAATTACCTTACATAGACTGGAATCTCCTGTTTTTAGGAAAACCTGGTTGGGTTGGGAGTCCATATACTTTCTTAAAGTTTCAGTTTGATGAGGTGACATTTTTAGCATAAGCGATTCCATTTTGGTGTTTTGGGGTCTAGTACAAGTGCTTAGTCCAAGACAGTGGGCTCCTACAATTTTTATTTAACATTTATAAATAATATGTATAGCCATAACTTCCAGTATTTTAAGGTTCTGTATTTATATTTTAGGCTATAGTAAGATAGTTTGCAGAGGAAATCACAAATATCCCAAATCTTCCATTGTAAATGTATTAATGGATTAGGATCATTTTCAGATTAAAATAGGAGCTTCTCTACTATTTTGCTGATTTAAGAACAATCAAGGTCTCTCTCTCTCACTCTTTTTTTTTTTTTTTTCCCTTCGGGTTTTTGCCATAGAGTACATAGACTTGCCAGAGAGAGACAGAGGAAGACTGTGAGAGGGAAAGTGAAAAATCACCCTCTCGGGGGAATACCATGCTGCTCCCTTCTCCTCCATTCTCCTCCTGAGATTTTGGGCAGCCATGCATGCTCATGTACCAGGAGTGAGTCTCAAGCTGCCAAATCTAAGACTCGAACCATGGCCAGCCATGTGAGAGTACAGCACTTTAACCACCACACCACTTGCTAGCCTGGTCTCCCTCTTTTTAAAAGCAAACACGTATGCAACGCAAAGGGCTAGTGTCCACACGAGGACTACAAAGAGAATATTTGTATTCGAGGCAAGAAGACACGTGCACTAAATTGAAAATATGTGTTTACTGTCTTCGTGAGTGAAAAATAGTTTAATGTTGTCAATTTCATATGTTTCAACTTGATACATAAGAAGGTAATCCCAGACAATGTGTAGCTATGCTGAAAGTATAATGTGAACCTATGTGACAAAGTTGGGGCCATCAGGAGAGCCCAGATAGCAAGAGAAATGTTGAAGAACAGGGATTGGGGTGGAGGGGAAGGACAGAAAAAGGGAAGGACAGACAAGATGGGAGGAGTATGCTTTTAGGTAACAATGAGCAAACCTGCTCTGTGCTAGCAACGTTTTAGGTGAAGGGAGTTAGAAGATAAAGCTGAGAGGTCAGAGGGGTCAGTGTACGTGCATATTCTAACACAATACCTCTGTAATAATGTAAGCAGAGCAGTTCATCTCTTATTTGAGGATGGCGAAAATGGAAGCAATGTATTTAAGAGTTTTTGTTTCGGGACCAGCAGATGGTGTGATGGCTACATCACTGGTTTCCCATATAGTCGACTGTGGTTCAAGTCCTGGACCTGGTGGCTTAAACTCACACCGGACACGTGTGCATACATGCCCAAGATCCTGAGAGGAGAATGGAGGAGAAACTGAGGTAGAAGCAAACAAAATTGAAAACTTACTTTGGAAGATGGCACATTCCCCAGTAGTTGTGTGAGAGAAGGAGCTATGAGCCCCCTTGGGGATTACTGGGCCTATTTTTATCTAGAAGGCGTTTGGGAATTTGAATTACTTCTGGGTTAAAACACTTGATCATTGGGTGAAAAGTCTGAATCTTAGCTGCTAAATTGGTCTTCCCCTACTTAGGTCCTTGGAAAAGATGGCCAGTGAGACTTTCAGCTCTCCTTCTCTCTACCTACCACAGTAGTTCCTTGAAGTGACAACCTCACACAGGGCCTCAGTACTGGAGAAGATACCAGCCAGCAGTGGGTATGAAGTTTTATAAAGTAGGCCACCATTGATTTTCTTCAAGTACTTCCTAAGGAGTATGGCATGGCTTTGGAAATGACCAATATATGCTTTTTCACCTATAGATTCTCACCTCATATACCTGTAAAAAAGGCTCCCTGTCAGCCATGTTTTCTCCTGATGCATCTCCATTCACCAGTATCACATTTCTTTACTTTTAGATGTGTGTTTGTGTTCTAGTTTCTGTGTACACTCTCCAAATAATTAGAATAAGTCATTTGTTCATAGGCAAACATATTTTGGTCTGAAAATTTCACAAAAATAATAATGAGAAAAAAGGCAGAACTGATTAAATGATTGCTAGGCCCCACAGTCTGAGGCTCTGTGGGCCCTAAGGAGGGAAGCATGTGCAGCTTTGTTTGAAAAGCTGATGTCTTCCTCAGAACTGGGCCTTGGCCCATGTTAGTGTGTGGTGAGCTTACAGCTTGCACGCATCCCCATACAGACAATAAATCAAATTTTATGTAAAACATTTTAGTTGGAAATTGTTTAAGATCACCTTCAGGATCAGCAGGAGGCGTGGTGGTTATGGCACTGGACTCCCACACAGGTGATCCTGATTTGAGTCCCAGAGTTGGAGGCTAAAAAAATCACTCCAGGCATATGTGTGTACATGCCCAAAATCTCAGGAAGAGAATGGAAGAGAAGGGACTGTGATGTGGCTATCCCCCTGGTGGGTGATATCTCACTCTCCCTCTCTCTGTTTCTCTCTGGTGAGTGCATGCCCGCTACAGTAAAACCTTACAAAAAAATTAAACAAAACAAAGATCACCTTCAAAGTAAATTTGAGAAGAGTTAAGTGATCTTAATTTGTGGAGAGCCAAATAGGTTCCAAGCTTTGGTGGGAAAACATCAGTGAGTGGCCAAAATAATCCTAAAATACAAAACAAATGAAAACCGCAGAAGAAAACTCAGCAACAGAGGTAACTCCACTTCCCCACTTGCTGTTTAGTTCTCTATCCTCCTTCAGCATACATACTGGGGCCTGCCAGGCAGCGGAGGGGTTGTTCTGTGTCAACCTAGGATTGTGGAAGATGGAGTGGAGAGTACTTCTTTCCTTCACAGGGTGATCTCATTCCTGTCATTGGTGACCAAAGTAAAATGACAAGGAAAGGTATGTTTTGCTCTTATACAAAAATAAGACATGTTAGAACAACTAGAGCTTACCAACTATTCCTTACAAGATAGCTTTTCAGTCTTATAATTGTACCCCCCACACACACACACATTTTTTATTGAGGTATGCTTGAACTTTGCTTAAAGGCTGCTTTCTAATAGCCAAGGGCCAACCAGGTGGCATGGTAGTTAACTTTGTGGTTTGAGTCCCAGACCCGGCAACTTGAGAAACATGCCGAGTGCATGTGCATGTGCATGTGCATGTGTATGTGCATGTGTGCCCAGAATCCCGAAGAGAATGGAGGATTAGGGATTGTGGCATGATCATCCCTCCTGGGAGGGGGTTGCTTTATCACTTTCTCTCTCTCTCTCTCTCTCTCTCTCTCTCTCTCACTCTTTCAGTGAGCCCAGTGCTCTATAGCAACTTCTAAAAAAATAGCCAACAATTTTATTCTTATGAAATAAGTCTTTCATGTAACAATTTTCCAGATAAAAATTAGAGCTATAGGAAAGTACATGCAGTCGTTGATGGGTTTGGGTCTTTGGTCTAGCCCTAACCCATGTACTTTTTTTGTTGGGCAAATCTTTAGCAAACTAGATGGGTCGTACTTGT